AATGAAATTATATTATATGTGATCTGTTTCTGGCATCTCTTACTTAGCATAACATTTTGAAGTTCATCTACACTGTGCCATGTTTTAGTACTTCATTTCTTTTTATGGCTGAATAATATTCCATTGTATGTATATCCCACAATTTGTTTATCTCTCTATTGGTGGGCCTTTGGGTTGTTTCTACCTTTGTCTATTGTAAATATGGCTGATATGAACCTTTGTGTACAAGGATTTGTTAAAATAGCTTTTTTTTTCAATTCTTTTAGGTATATACTTAGCGGTAGAATTGTTTTGTCATATGGTAATTCTGTTTTATTTATTGAGGAACTTCCAAACTGTTTTTCATAGCTCAACCATTTTATTACTGATTGTAAGAGTTCTTTTTGTATTCTGTATACTAGACTCTAATCAGGTATATTATTTGCAAATATTTCTTTCGTAATGTAGGTTGTCTTTCACTTTTTTGATAATGTCTCTTAATGTCCAAAACTTTTTAATTTTGATATTCAGTTTATCCTTTTTGTTGTTCTTGTTGCTCGTGCTTTTGTTGTCATATCTAAGAATTCATTGCAAAATCCCAGGACACGAAAATTTACCTCTAGGTTTTCTTCTATGAGTTTTATGATTTTATCACTTATATTTAAGTCCTTGATACATTTTGCCTATAGGAGACATGCATATTCTTGGGATCAAAGGTAAGATAATGGTGGATTAAAAAATGGTTACCCTTCTCCTTTATACCTTCTCCCATTAACAAGCAGAGCCTATTCCAATATTTAAATAGACTGGATTTGTGACTTGTTTTGAACAGATATATCAGAGGAAATATACAATTTCTAAGCAAAGTCTCAAGAGTCCTTGAAACTTCTGCTTTCAATCTCTTGCTGCCATAAATTCCCCATAAAGAAACCTTATCTATTTTTTTGAAGACACATGACCAAGTAGAGAGAAAAGACTGACCTACAACCAGCACAAACCACGAGACTTGTGAGTGAGGATATCCTGAACTTCCTATCCTAGTCAAGCTGCCAGATGACTTCATTAGTGTGAGGTCACATTACTTACCCCAGACAAGACCAGAAACCACCCAACTGAGCCAGTCTACTTAACAATGGTGCAATATGAGCAAATAAAATGGAGATTGTTTTTAGCTACTAAGTTCGAATGGTTTATTATGCAGCAGTGACTGATGCATCATTGAAGATAACACTGAGATTTACAAGCACATGTGTATACATATCACAAGTTAAAATAAGTGAATGAAAGGAAAATTCCACTCGTATAGTGTTAGACTGAAACTGTTGATCACTTTCATAGGAATAGGAAAATTCCTATTCCTTTTTTTTTTCTTTTGCTCAGTTGACTCTCAATAGGCTTTTTTTTCTACCTTGGTAGCTATTCTTTCCATTCTTTATGGCAGACCATTATTTCTTCTGGCCATATTGGAAATACTGGTACTCCCCAGGCATGTCCTCTTCTCACTCAACTATCCCTTTGAGTGACCCCACTCCCTCTTCCCCCCTCCCTCCCTCTCCCTCTCCCTTTCTCTCTCTCTCCTACAAGATTATAAGGTCTTGGAAGTTAGAGTCTATATATAATATCCACTAATCATAGTACCTACCAGATTGTGGTACATTATATGCATTAAATACTTTTGAATGAATGGATTCAGGGATAATTTTCCAAATTATGTCAGGTTTTACATGAGGCTGCTTTTTAAAACATGGGAAGGATATACTGATTCTTAGAATTTTTTAAATTTGGCATGCCATTTGACAAATATTGCTCATACTTTCAAGATTGCTATAGAAAACTCCAAATCAACTGTAAATTCAAAAGTATGAGTGTTCTTTACAGTTGATAGTAGGTCACAGTTGTGGGAAATAGTATTCAGAATTCATAGGCCATATCTATAAATAATTTACAATAAAAAGGAGAGTCCCAACATAAATTTATTTTTATTCTTATTTTTTAGAGTAGAAAATATAAAAAAAATTAAATGGTGTTAGGTATCTAAAAGATTGGGTAATAATTTCCAATACAAATATGGAGTTAAAAAATCAGAGTCATTAGAATGTTATATGTATCAAGCAGGAGTTTACAGGCAATGCTGTTTAGAGTAAATAGGATGTTTTATTTCTTCTATAATGTAATTTTTTAAAGTATGTTCAATTTGACATTTTTAGTCTCCCACTCCACTTTTGTTTCTCTTTGCTCTTTGAAGAGACAGAAATCAGAAATGCATAGAATGTGGTCAGTTGGATAAAAGTGTTTATGTTATAAATTATAATCAATGGCCCTAAGTGTTTATGACAATAGGTAAAATTCTCAGCTTAATTATAACAGGAATTTTATTTAAAATAATTTAAAGTGACATTAGGAAATTTAAAAAATGTGTATAAATATTTCAGATGGGCAATTAAAAAATGTAAAACTCAAATTTTTTGGATACTGTGGGCCTTCCCTATGTTAACCATTTAAGTAAGTATATGGGTTATTTGAACGCCAGGTACATGAAATTTTGCATTCTCACTTCAGTTCAAAGACTGATTAAAATAATTTTCCTTTATTGCTTCATCACTTCTACAAAAATGTTGCTAGGGTAAGGTCTTGACATTTTATCCTAAAATATTTCTCTATACCAAATTTAACTCTTTTCTAAAAATTTAAGTAACCTGTTTTTATTAGTATAAAATACATAATTTTTTATTATACTATAAGGAGGATCAAACAAAATATTAATTAGGCATTACTCACTTATAGAAGATTTTTAAATTTTCAGATAATTATGTCACAGTTCATTGAAAAGTCTCTTATCTTAACCAGTTTCCCCTCAACTTTCATGTGATACTTCAACTTCAGTTGGCTTCTTAAAAGTATCATATAAGTCAACCTAATTTTAGATGTCTGCACTATTCAGGACTCTGAGTTACCAGTTTTCAAAACCAAGGGATAATGTTTTTCTGATTATTAATTCATTTAGAATCTATTAAGATACTTATTGAATGTTCGTTCTCTTCTCTGCTTGTATATCTTTTGCCCATTTTCTTTCAGGTTTACTTGTATTTTCTTACTGACTTAGAGGAACAAATTATTATCTTTAGTTTGTTATACATATTTTTACCATTTGTAATTTGACCTGTAATTTGACTTTCGATTTGACTTGTCTTTTTACTTTATGATATCTTTTATTAAAAATAGTTCTTAATTTTAATGTACTTAAATTTATTATTTTTGCTTTATTTTAAGTGTTTTGCATCTTTCTTATTTAAGAAATCTTTTTATAATGTAAGGTCATATAAAATATTTCCTTTTCTTGTTAAATTTTAAATTTTTTCACTTGAGATTTAATTGTTTAACAGTGTGAAATTGTTTCTATGTGGGTTACACATTCATTTGTAAAAATATGGAAATTATTTTTCTCAACATCACTTTTTTTTTACAAAATCCAGTCATTTCTTAGAAATCAGCTATACTGTATCTATCGTAATGATTGCAATCTATTTGTTGCTCCTTCATTTCATTGGTTATTTTTACCTCTGTATTATAATACTTCATTTTATAAATTTGTATGCTTCATAATATGTTTTGATATCTGATACGGTAATTCCCGCTTTTCTTTGCTTTTATAGATTTCTTTGGCTATTATTAGTGCATATAAATTTTAGAATAAGCTTGTCATATTACATGCAAAAACCCTTTGGGATTTCAAACAATTGCATTCATTATTTTTTATTACATAGGTGAATTTGGTCTTTTTGGGAGGGTTTTTTTTTTTAATTGAATCTATTACACTATCAGCACAAGAAAATTCCAGCAGTATACCAAATACCAAAACCTGTTTAGAGGAAAGGACTAAGCAGGAGGTTATGGGGAAGATGGGTAAATTGAAGAAAACTTAATGTTAAATTATTGGTTCTCTAACGTACAGTCATGAGCCCCATAATGTTTCAGTCAGTGACAGATTATGTATAGGCTGGCAGTTACTTACAATTATAATGGAATTGAGGGCCTCTACTTTTGCCTAAGTAAGCCTGTATTTAAATTTGTGCACCTTAGAATATTTTCACTCACTGATGAATCTGCCTTTGTTTTTCCTCACTCACCTGTTTGTGTCTATGTGAGATTCTGCTAACAACATAGGCTCTAGAATCATAACTTCTATTCTTAGACAGCCTGTCTTGTCTGTCTTAGATACATCTCCATTGTGGTTAGAGAGTTCTCATGGTAATGACTAGAAAGCAACCTTTCGGCCATATGTTCTGGTTTTGGGGGGTGAAAAGCAATAATACTGGCCTGTCTCACCACAGGCAGCCCTTCTGTTATTTACTTTGATCACCTGCCTATTGTCACATTCTCCGCAGAGAAGCCTTTTACCTCTCCTGAAATTCCTACAGAAACTTTGTTATTATATGGGAATTGAAGAGAAGTAATGATATATACCCAATGTAACATCTTGAATTGCAGATTATCTATAAAACCCATTCATTCTGACTATATATTCCTTGTGTTTTGGTAATTTATGCCCCTTACAGCCCAAAGTTCTTTTAGAATATGTCTGTAGAACATGATTCCTACCAAGGAGATTACAGTCCAGAAGAAGGATGATCCTATAGAATACTAAATATTTGTGAACTCACATGTAATTTTGTGTTTTCCACTCTTTTTTAATATATTGAAATTAAACGGATATTATATACTCTGATTGCATGGAAAGTTATTTGGGAATATGTGGCATTTGAACTGGTCCCTGATGAAGGGATAAGATTAAGAAACACAGATAAAAGATGAGAACAGGTGAGAGTAATAATATAAATATAGGACTAGGTATTAGAAATGTATACCTATTTTGGAAACAACAGAGTATAATTTGACAAAAATATAATGGAGTATGTGAAGTGGAGTATTTATAGGTTTATCAGTGAGTTCAAGTATAAGTTTACTGTTGTTTTCTGAGATGTTTAAAATTTGATTTTTATTGAGATTTTTTATTTTAACAGTTTGAAACTTCTTTTGAAGAATGGTAAGAACCTTTTATGCTTCTTTTATTTTTTAATATTCAAATTTTGATGATTATTCTTCTATAGATGAGGTTTATTTCAAAAGAAACAGGAAATTAAAAGCATAATTTTTAATATGAGATATTAAAATGTAATTTTAAAAATATAAGAATTAGGACATTTCTGAAAATGGCAGAATAGGAATCTTCAGGGCTCTGTCCCACTACAAAACAACTATAAAGTTGGCAAAAATTGGTGAACATCAACTTTTGATGAAATCTGGAATCTAGTCAAAAACTTACAACAACCATAGGAAAAGTTAATGAAGAGTCTGCATTCAGAGAGCACTGTGGTGTTTTAAATTGCCTACTTGGCATCCTCTATCTCCCAGGTCACTGGAGGTCACAAAGAGAGCAGCCTAAACTTTTGGTGAGATTGCTAGTGCCAGAGGGAACAATATGGACCTTATTCTCGAAGAATTGTGGTTCAGTGTTTTGATTTGTCTGATGACTCCCTGAAGGACCTGCACAAAGTCTTGTCTGTATCTTGCCAGACTTGGAACAATCACAGAGCTGGAGCTACTTCCAGGGAATGTTGGTTAAAAGCGTTTAAACATATGCCACCACTGTTTGAAGTTATTGATAACAGTTGGGACCAGCAGTTGACAGACCAAAATGTCTGAGAAAGAAGAGTTTGAGGAAGAAGTTACATGAGGGAATAAGTTTTTCAAAATTCTCACGTATATTGGAGCATCAAGAAGTCCACACACTTGACCAGTGCTGGACACATGCTCAGGAAAGACCCAAGAAGACCCTAATCTTTTACCTGTGGCTAACCTTTAGGATCTGCACAGGCAAGAATTGAAAATAAGAGGCAGAGGTGTAAACAGCCTGGATAAGCAGGCTGTTTTTTCCTTTATTTTTGCTCCAGATATTTAAGGTAACGGGTAAAATAGAAGCTCACCAATAAGCTAATGAAACATTTACTTTAGTGGCCATACATGACCAGGAATACAGATATTACAAAAAGCATTTAGAAAGATCATTAAATAAATAACCATCCACAACAAACAGCAACAATAAACTCAATAGAGGGCAGGTAACTCATTTCCATTTCACATTAAAACATTCAAAATGTCCAGTTTTCTGCAAAAATTATAAGGCAAGCAAAGAAAAAAAGAATGTTTGTTTCATGAACAATGAAAAAAGAAAAAAAGAAACTGTCTCTGAGAAAGCCCAGACATTGGACTTATTGTACAAAGACTTCAAATCAACTCTTAAATATCCTCAAAGAGGTAAAGGAAACTGTGAGCAAAAAAACTAGACAAAGTCAAGAGCCTAACATCTCAACAAATATAGCATATCAATAAAGAGATAGAAAATATAAAAAAGAGAAAAATGGGTATTCTGGAGCTGAAAAGTACATTACTGAAATTAAAAATAGAGATATTCATTAACAGCTTTGAGCAGGCAGAGAAAAGAATCAGTGAATTTGAAGATAGGTTAATTAAGATTATTCAGGCTGAGGAGCAGAAAAAGAATGAATAAAAATAAACAGAACCTAATAGACCCCAGGGACACCACCAAAAATACAGGTATATCCATAATGGGAGTCCAAGAGTGACAGGAGAGAGAAAAAGGGGGAAAAAGAATATTTGAAGAAACATTAGCTGAAAACTTTTCAAATTTGATGAAAGACATGAATCTATACTTCTACTACACTCAATGAACTCCAAGCTGGGTAAATTCACAGATCCACACTAAAACACATTTTAATCACATTGTTGAAAGCCTGGGACAAAGATAGTACAGGTTTCCTCCACTATCCAAGAGTAGAGTGTTCCTGTGAAAACTTTCACAAACTGAAATGGCATAAAATGAAGAAGCAATTACCATTAATTTATATGAAAAAATTTTGAGCATTCCCAGGCCCCCCCAAAATCATACCAAATATGTTTAATTATGTTTAGTTTTATGCTAAGTGTAACACTCTTACAAGCTCTCTTAGGTTTTTCTGATACCTTAGGGCACATCTTGCTGATGGTTGTACAGAATAAATCGAGATAAAAGCTTGATGCTAAGTTGCTGAGTGTAGTTCTCAGAGAGGGAGCTTGGAGGTGCCATTCAAAAATACAAAAATACAAAAGTCAGTGTAATTGCATTATTATTTTGAATCTCTTATTTTCTTATATAATTAAAAATATAAATGGATAAAACCATAATTATAAACCTATGTTAAATAGCGACACAATATATAAATGTATAATTTGTGAAAATGACAAAGGGAGCAGAGCTGTAAAAGAACAGAATTTTTTAATACTATTGAAACTACAATGATTTAATTCAAGCCTAATTTTTATGAAGTTAAGATGTTAATTGTAATTTCCAGGGAACTACTTAGAAAAATTTTAAAAACGACACAAACAAAAAAACCTAGAAATCCAATAAGAAGGAAACCAAAACAATACACTAGGGGGAAAAGTCCTAACCACAAAAGAAGGCAGTTATGGAGAAATTAAAGAATGAAAAAGGTGTAAGTAATATCGATGACAACAAAATTGCAGTCCTTTCTTATTAGTAATTACTTTCCATGAAAATGGATTAAACTCATATTAGAGAGTAGGAGAATGGATGAAAATAAATGATCCAACTATATGCTGTTTATAAGAGACTTGCTTGAGATCCAAAGTTACAAGTAGGTTGACAATGAAAGGAAGAAAAATATATTCTATGAAACTGGTAACCAAAATAGAGCTGGAGTGGCTATAATAATATCACACATATACTTTAAGTGAAAACATTTTACAAGAGACAGAATACTTAATATCTTGATAAAAAAAGTCTCTTCATCAAGAAGATATAAACGTTATAAAGATATACATCTAAAAATGTAACTTCAAAATACATGAAATATAAACTGACAGAATTGAAGGGAGAAATAGTTCTATAATGAGTGAGAATTCAATACCTTCACTTTTAATAATTGATATAAGAACTAAAAAAAAGATTGATAAAGAAATAGACTTGACCAACACTAGAGATATCTAAACCTAACTGACTTACATAATACACTATACCAGATAGTGTATACCACATTCTTTGCATCTACAGCCATGCTACCCTGAACAAGCCCAATCCCGACTGATCTTGGAAGCTAAGCAGGGTCAGGCCTGGTTAGTACTTGGATGGGAGACCACATAGGAAGACCAGGTACTATAGGCGTAAAAAATTAAAAAATAAGGGATTGTAACCTGATAAAGTCCTTGCAAACTGTGAGGTCAACCAAGGGTTGCCTCATCTAAAAAAAAAAAAGAAAACACATTCTTTTCATGTTCACATTGAACATTATTAGGATAGATCATATATTAAACCACAAAACAAATCTCAATAAATTTAAAATGACTGAAATCATACAAAGTATTTTCTGTGCCCCAATAGAATGAAACTAGAAATAACCTAGAGAATTCATATATATGTGGAAATTAAACAACACACTAAAAAATCTAATGAGTCAAAGCTGAGTCACGGAGAAGTTAGAAAATACTTTGAGATTAATGAGAAATGAAAACACAATGTACCAAAACTTATGGGATGCAGCAAAACAGTGCTTAGAGGGAAATTTATTGCCATAAATGCTTACATTAAAAAAGATCCCAAATCTAGCAACTTAACACTATACCTTACAGAACAAGAAAAGAGTGAATGTGCTAAAGCTAGCAAAAGAGAGGAAATAATGATTAGAGCAGAGATAAATGAAATAGGGAGTAAAAAATTAGTATCAATGAAAACAAAAGTTGTTTCTTTGAAAAGATCAGCCAAATTTACAAACCTTTAGCTAGACTTACCAAGAAAAAAAGGGAAAAATCACTAAAATCATAAAAAATTAGGATGTTTCTACAGACTTTACAGAAATAAAAATTTATAATACTATGAACATTTGACAGTACTAAAAAATTAGATAACCAAGATGAAATGGACAAATTCCTAGAAACACATGAACTGGCAAAACTGACTCAGGAAGAAGTAGAAAATCTAAACAGATCTAACAAGAGTTTGAATGGGTAATCAAAATCTCCCAACAAAGAAAATCCCAGGACCAGGTGGCTTAACCGGTGAATTCTACTAAACGTTGAAAGAAGAATTAATAACAATGCTTCTCAAACTCTTTAAAAACACAGAAGGGATAGGAACACTTCCCAACTCATTCTGTGAGGCCAGTATTACCCTGATACTAATGTCAGAAAAAAGCTCACAAGAAAAGGAAATATAGACCAACGACTTTATGACTATACATATAGAAATTCTCAACAAAATAGTAGCAACCTGAATTCAGCAACATATTAATGGAATTATATATCATGGCTAAGTGAGATTTATCCCAGGAATGGAATGCAGTTCAAAATACAAAATACAAAAATCAATGTAATACATCACAGTTATAAAATGAAAGGGGGTAAACCTTTGTGAACATCTCAATTGATGTGGGAAGCAGGTTGCAAATTCTAACACCTTTTTATGTTGAAAACACTCAGAAAACTAAGATTGGAAGGATATTTTCAAAACATGATAAAGAATATTTATGAAAATCCCTCGACTGACATTACACTTAATGGTGAAGATTGAAAGTTTTTAACTTAAGATAAGGAACAAGACAAGGATGCTCACTTTAATTCAACATTGGACCCCCGTATACATTGCTGGTGGGATTGCAAAATGGTTCAGCTGCTGTGAAAAATATTTTGACGGTTCCTCAGCTAGTTAAACCTAGAATTACCACATGACCTAGCATTCCACTCCAAGGTATATACACAAAAGGTTTCAAAACATGTGTTCAAACAAAAGCTTTTATACAAATGTTCATATCATAAGTATTCACAATAGCCAAATTGGGGAAACAATCTCAAATCCTTACATGGACTATTTGATAAGTAAATGGTGGTATATCTATACAATGGAATGTTATTTAATCATAAAAAGCAATGTAGTTCTGATACATGCTATAACATGGGTAAGTTCTTAAACCATTAGGCCTGAGTTAAAGAAGCCAGACGCAAAAGGTCATTTATTGTATGATTCCATTTATGTGAAATATCCTTACTAGGTAAGCCTATATAGATGGGGAGCAAATTGGTGGTTGCCAGGGGCTAGTGGGAGAGGGAAAGGGGAGAGATTGCTTAATAAATAGCAGGTGTTCTTTTGAGGTGATAAAGATGTTTTGGAGCCAGATGGAGATAAGAATTGCACAGCATTGAATGTACTAAGTTCCATGAAAGTTTACACTTCCAAATGGTTAATTGTATGTTTTGTGACTTTTGCCTCAATTAAAAAATTTATATGTATGAATTAAAACAGAATTCCGCCCGTCTAAAAATTAACTGAATTTTGGAATATAAGACACGAAAATCAATTCAATTATGTATAATAATGTACTGTATCATGTAGTTGGTGTTGTAAGACAGTGATGAGAGCATTATTTAATATTAGATGCTGGCATAATTGCTTTTCTATTTTTAAAAGCAAACAAGAAAAAAATGTTACCTTATTCAACAGGACCATTTAAAATGAAATTTTAAAAGGAAGAAAGAAAATATAATGAATATGTCCCTGACTTCAAAATAGACAGACTTTCCTAAACAAATTGTAGAATGACAATGAGATAATATGCAGCCATCAGAATAGTAAATGGTAAATGGTAAATAATAAATAGTAAATGGTAGTCAAATATACAGAAAACAATGGCATGCAACTAAAGCATGGAAAATTTTGACTCTAATTTTATGAAAATTGAGATATCACTAGAACGTTATATTCTATGATATGTCTGAAAAGAGTAATTAATGTAGATTATTTTTTATTTTGTGATAATTGTGTATAACTTTCTTTAATTTGTAATACTTCTTTAATAAGCAAAAAATAATAATAAATATGAAACTCCCTGCTTCGTTGTTGATACTGATTTTCTTAAAACTATTATCAGAGAAAAAATACTTTTGCTTAAATACAACAAAACCTAGGATCCAAGAATTAGGAGAAATATTGATAATGAGAAATATTTTGTTATTAAACATATAGAACTTTAGCTAAAAGATTCTTTAGAAAAGAAATAACATTTTCATTTGGACATTTTTCTAAAACCTTATTAAATTCAAATCTGAAAGTATTTTTGCTTCTTGTAATTTATATGGACTCCCTGGAAATGGCTAAATTGAAATTAGAGAAATAGCTCATTTAAATTATTTTCGATAAACTTCCTTTTTCTGATAGCAACATTCTCTAGGAAAGACCAATTTCATTAAAAAAATACTAATATCCTCTCAAAAATTTTCAGATCATTTGTAACATTTTAAATTGCTATTTACTATGAAGTGTAAAGCCCATTATATGTTAGAATTTTGCTTTATTAATCTCCAGTCAGTTGAGTTAGCATGTACAGTAAGTTTCACCACAAACATTTAATATTCAGTGTAAAAGCATCACCTAAAATTTGTTTTATTAGCTTCAGGTACAGGCCTTCTATAGTAATTGGTTGCTTCTCTCTCATTACATAGGAGCAGAACTTCTACAAAAGACCTGAAAGATTGGAGTATTGCTACATCAGAGAAAGAGGTCAAACCTGAAGAAGAGAGAGGTAAAGTTGTACTTCATACTTAGATAAGTGTAATTATATTTAAAATCTCGTTTATTTTTTATTTACTATATTTCTGATTTTCACAGTGATTATGTTTTATAATTCTTATGAGTGTCTAATAGAGGAGATTTCTATATCATTTGATTAAATATTTATTCAACAAATATTTATTAATGACTATTATGTACTATATACTTGTCTAGGTCCTGAGTGTATAATGATCTCTGCCTACCTCTCAAGCAGCTAACTGTAATTTAGTACTGTGCAGTAGAACTTTTTGTGATAAAGTGTTCTATAGCTGCACTTTCTAATAGAATAGCTATCAGCCACATACAGTTGTTGAGTACTTGAAATGTGGATAGTGAGACAGAGGAATTTAATTTTTAATCTAACTTCAACTTACATTTAAATATAAATAATTATGTATGGTTTATGGCTACCACACTGGACATTATAGCTCTATTATGTATATAAAGGCTAATATTCTTGTCATAATTTACAAAATGTAAAATAATTTACATACTGAAATAAGATTTGTGTTAAAATTCTTCAGTGTAATTGAATATATATTTTTTACATTATAAAGATAAAATTGACTTTATCTCCATGTTGATTCTCAGAAATCACCATCAGTAATATTGAAAACGGCAATTTAAGATCTCATGTTATTTTGAAACCACACGATGCCTATATAACAGGATAGTAACTATACCTTTGCTTATTTTCCCAATTTCAGTATTTGTTGATTTCCCACACACCCTGCTTGGGCCCCTTTGTCCTGTAGCACACATCTGTAGGAAGGCTGGCCCAGTAAGAGTCTAAAGCAAGGGACATCAGCACATTGGGGCACAAATCTTAAACTCATTACCATATTTTATCCGAACAAGTATATTTTGTCCATTTTGTTGAGCTTGTCATTTTCTGTACACTGAAATCAGGGATCTGGTCTTGTACTTATATGTTGTCAATTCTTGCTATTATATTAAATACCTCCTCTTGAATATTTTTAAACACCTTCCTTTAGTGAAAGGTAACTAAAAACTCAGAACTTTTAAAAAGTAAGCATATTTTATAATTCAAAGCTGTCATTCATAGTGAGGCTGTTTTTACTTTTCCTTTTTACTATTTATGTCTACAGTGAAGATGAAACCTCATTCATTACTTCTTAATTTTTTTACATGATAACTGCTGGGAGGAAAAAATATGTTAACAGTCACAATAACAGTTACATTAACTACAATTAAAATAAACTACATTTATTATGAACAGGTACATTTGAATTTGAAAACTAATTGAGATGGTATTCTAGAAAAAAATTGAGAGATGTTAAAGACAATGAATTGGAGGCCCCCAAGTTATACATACAGCATTTATTTTAGAATGCTGTGGTAGGAACAATATAACGGACATCTTATAAAAACAGAATGGACACCTTTGGACACATACATATCTGATCAGAAGTGGTTTAATTTAAGTGGCATTAACTTCAGCATGTTTCAGCCTGAAATCTTGCTATAGAAACTGAATAGATCATAAGTGGGCTGGGGAACCCCATGTTTAATGTGTGTATTGTTGAAAACAGACAATTAAGAATATGAAGTTTCCAGGATTTGAAGTTTCCAGAATTTGGAAAAAAAAAAGATAATAGACCAAATAAATAGAGACCAAATAAAGGTCCAGAAAAAGATAATTTTATGCATTACAGTAGAGAAACCTGTTTCTCAAGAATTCTTTTCAGGCATAATGCTGAATTAATTTCTTCAATAAGTCTATAGGTTAGAAGTAGAAACTGTGACTGATGAGCTTACATTTATAACCATTATGTAATGCTGTCTTCTAGTAGAAAATTATTGTCTTTATGTCCAAAAGCAAAACAAAAGAAAACAAAGATCTATTGGTTACCTTTCTTCTTGATCCAGTTTTACTGTTTATTTCTCAGCCTCAATGTTTTGGGGGCTTTGCCTTTCTTGAGAGTGTGTTTGCTTATGTCTTCTTGTTATGTCACATTTTGGCAAAATTCACTGTTTATAAGTATAAATGTCACCAAAGTGGGGCCCATATCCTTCTTCTTTATTGATCTATTTCCAGGGAGAGAGCATATTGCCTAGAACATAACAGGGTCTCTATCCATTTCTTTCATAAATAGATGAGTGAATACCCATGTTAATCATTTTATTAACATTAAACCATATCATTCCAGAGCTGTGAACCAAGAATCACAAATATCTTTCATTAAAGAAGTTAATTTGTGTTATAACTGAATAAATAGAATTTAGAAACAACAATGAATTCTTGGTAAGGCTAACTAGGGATGTTATTATCTGATAAGATAAAGAATATTAAGTATTTGGTTTCTAGGAACCATTTGAGGATTTTCAGTATTTATCTGATATAATAATTATGATTTACTTGTCTCATAGAACAGGAGGAAACAGAAGCATAATTTAAAAATGCAACTTGTGAATAGAACATGTGTTTTTCCTTCAGATAAAATATTATGCATGAAGATATTGGTTGAGATTTATCTATTCTAATTATGTTATAAAATGTTTATTTAAAAAATCTGTCTTTCTACAGTTATAATCAATGTTATGATTGCATTATAATAAAACAGTCTTTAAAGGGCTAATTTGTTTTTCTAAAATTCTTATTATGTACATATAAATGTTAAAAATAGTCGTATAACTAGTACCCATGTTTCAACCACCTAATTTCTAGACTGATTCATTAACAAATGAGAATGCATATTTCTTTTTTAAGTTGAAAAGTGTTCAGAATTAAAGCAGGAAATGGAAACATTGCTATCAGAGGCCATTCATCTCATTAAAAGTCTAGAAACTGACCGTGCAGAAGCCGAAGAAGCTTTAAAAGAACAACAATCAAGAAGAAAACAGATAAACGGAAAAATTGATTCTTGGTCAATCTGGAGACTTCAAGAAATCCCATTTGCTGTGCAGAAAGGTAATAATAAAGATTTTTTTTTTATACTACCATTTACAACTCTGAATAAATATTCAACTCTGTTTTAGTGACCATACTATTTTACATTCATACTAGCACACTTTTGATAGATCCTATTAATGATAATGCTTAACTGGAAGGATGCATTGAGCAAACCTGGACCTGCTGTCATTTGTGTTTGTTGGAAATTCCATAGGATTTATGGTACCCAAGGGGCATGTGAACATTTGGTACATATTTCATGTAATGACTACAGTATTTGAGTACTAGAAATTTAGAAATTTAATGTGATTGCCAGTTGGTGTTATTGGCCACATCTTTAAATATAGGAAAACAAAAGAGTTCGAAGTGATATTTTAGGAAGTACATGCATCTGCTTTTGAGAATTCAGTAGTAAAATAGTGGTCGCTTCTAGCAGGCAATAAAACTTGAGATGTTTCCAAAAGTCATGCACATAACAAATGTTTAAAAAAGAAATGCTAACATCTAATGCCTTTAGACTGGTAAAGTATTAAATAGTCTAAAGGCATTAGATGTTTTATTCTCCAAAACTATGCCTACCTATCAAACATGCCTGACTACATAATTCTGCTTGAGGCTGGAAGTTGTTTTTGCTATCATAAGGTAAAACCTTAATTCAGGATTCATGTGTTTTATAAATGAGTTATATTAGGGTTCTCATATAATCTATCATTTAATCTAAGAGACACGAAAGGCTGTTATTTTTATTACTCTAGGATAACAGCCATTAATTCAAATTATGTGTCAGACTGAACCTATACATACACCTTTGTTGTAATGTTATAAGTCTTCTAAAATTGTAGTCTCCAAAGTAGAGCGTACATAGTTCAGGTAGTTGCAAGAAAATATTAGAATTTTTATTTAGATTTTTGAATTTTTTTTGTAATTTTCTTGATTATTTGGGTTTTAGTTTTGTTTTCATTGTGACTGACAAAATAGTTATCCAGTGGTTCTTCAATTATGTTATTTGAATAAAATAAATTACATATAGATTTAATGGCTGTTTTCTCCTTTTAAAGTAATACTGAGAGTTCACTGTCTTTCTCTGACTTATTTTACTTAGCATAATACCCTCTAGGTTTATCCATGTCATTGCAGATTTTATTTTTTGTGGCCAAGTAATATTCCATTGTATATATGCATCACTTCTTTATCCAATCATCTATTGACGGGCTTCCATATCTTGATTAAGTTGCTTCCATATATTGATTATTATAAATAATGCTGCAGTGAAGATAGGTGTGCATATATCTTTTCAAATTAGCATTTTGTTTTTCTTCAGATAGATACCCAGAAGTGCAATTGCTGGGTCATAAGGTAGTTCTATGTTCAAAAGGGGTATCAGCCTATAATTTTTTTTTTTTTGTAAAGTCTTTGTCTGGTTTTGGAATTAGGTAATGGTAGCCTCGTAAAATGAGCTTGGGAGCCTTCTCTTTTCTTGACTTTTTTGGAGTAGTTTGAGATAAATAGGTGTTAATCTTTCTTTGAATGTTTGGTAAAATTTACCTGCGAAGCCATCTGGTCCAGGACCTTTGTTTTTTGAGAGTTTTTAAATTACTGATTTGATTTGTTAGTAATAATCGGAATATGCAGATTTTCCAGTTCTTCTTGATTCAGTCTTGGAAGATTTTATGTCTCTAGAAATTTATCCATTTCTTCCAAATTCTCCGATTTGTTGGCATACAATTGTATTTAGTTATTTCTTATAATGCTTTGTATTTCTGTGGAATTAGTTGTCACTTCTCTTTTTTCATTTCTGATGCTATTTATTTGGATTCTCTCCTTTTCTCAATAAGTCTGGTTAAAAGATTATCAATTTTGTTTATGTTTTTAAAGAACTAGCTTTTGGTTTTATTGATCATTTGTATTGTTTTTCTAGACTCTATTTCATTTATTTCCTCTCTGGTCTTAATATTTTCTTCCTTATATTCACTTTGGACTTTATTTTCTGTTGTGTTTTTTTTTTTTCCTAATTCCTTTAAGTGTAAGGTTAGATTATATGAGATTTTTCTTGTGTCTTGAGGTAGACTTGTATTGCTATGAATTTCTCTCTTAGGACAGCTTTTGCTGTGTCCCATAGATTTTGAGTCATTTTGTTTTCATTTTTATTTGTCTGAAGGTATCTTTTGATTTCTTCCTTGATCCCATTGTTAGCCCATTTATTGTTTAGCATGTTATTTAGTTTCCATGCATTTGTGTATTTTTTATTTTTTTTCTTGTAATTGATTTCTTTTTTCATAACATTGTGGTTAGAGAGGACACTTGATTATGATTTCAATCTTCTAAATTTACTGAGACTTGTTTTGTGGCCTATCTTAGAAAATGTTCCATGTGCACTTGAGAAGAATTTATATTCTGCTGCTTTGGGATGAAATGCTCTAAAAATATCAATTAAATCCATCTGGTCTAGTGTGTCATTTAAGGCCACTGTTTCCTTGATTTTCTGTTTGGAAGATCTGTCCATTGGTGTCAATGAGAATGTTAAAGCCCCCTAATATGACTATATTACTATCAGTCTCTTCCTTTCTATCAGTCATTATTTGCTTTATTTATTTAGGTGCTCCTATGTTGGGTGCGTAAATGTTTACTAGGGTAATGCCCGTTTGTTGGATTGATCGCTTTATCATTATGCAGTATCTTTCTTTGTCTCTTATTATGGCCTTTGTTTTCCAGCCTATTTCATTTGATATAAATATTGCTACTCCAGCTTTGTTTTTTCATTTCCATTTGCATGAAATTTCTTTTTCCATTTCTTTACCTTTAGTCTATTTGTGTCTTTTGATCTGAAGTGGATCTCTTATATACAACATATATATAGGCCTTGTTTTCTTATTCATTCAACTTCCCTATGTCTTTTGATTGGAGCATTTGATTCATTTACATTTAAAGTGATTATTGATAGGTACATAGTTATTGCCATTTTATTATTTACATTTACAATTTTTTCTCCTTTCTTTTTCTTAAAGAAGTCCCTTTAACATTTCTTGGAATACTGGCTTGTTGGTGATGAATTCCTTTAGCTTTTTCCTCTCTGGGAAGCTCTTTATCTCACCTTTCATTTTAATTGACAGCTTTCCTGTGTAAAGTAACCTTGGTTATAGGTCATTACTTTCGATTACTTTGAATGTTTTGTGCTAATCTTTTTTGGCCTGCAAAGTTTCTGTTGAGAAATCATCTAACAGTCTTATGGGACCTCCCTTGTAAGTAATTAGCTGCCTTTCTTGGGCTGCTTTTAGGATTCTCTCTTTGTCTTTATCCTTTGACATTTTCATTATGATGTGTCTTGATGTGGCCCTGTTTGGATTCATCTTGTTTGGGACTCTGTGCTTCCTGGACTTGTACATACATTTCCTTCACCAGGCAAAGAAAGTTTTCAATCATCATTTCTTCAGATAGGTTCTTAATACCTTGCTCTCTTTTGTCTCCTTCTGGTATCCTTGTGATGTGAATATTGTTAGACTCGATGCTATTTCAGAGGTTTCTTAATCTTTCCTCATTTTTTTAAATCTTTTTTCTTTTTGCTGTTTTGATTGGATGTTTTCTCTTACCTAATCTTCCAAATCACTGATTTGATCCTCTGCTTCATCTAATCTGTTGATTCCTTATAGAGTATTCTTCATTTCAGTTATTGTATTTTTCATTAAAAAAAAACTGTTTTTTTTTTTTTTTTGGTTTCAATGTTTTTTTTTATGCTTACTATCTCTTTGTTGAGTTCTCACTGAGATCATCTATTCTTCCCCTAAGGTCATTGAACATCCTTGTAATGAGTGTTTCAAACTCTGTATCAGTAGATTACTTGCCTCTATTACACTGAGTTCTTTTTCTGGAGTTTTTTACTGTTCTTTGATTTGGGACATGATTTTTTGTTTTCTCATTTTGGCTGCCTTTCTATGTTCATTTCTATGTATTAGGTAAATTTACTATGTCTCCCAGTCTTGGCTGGATGGCCTTGTGTAGTAGGTCCCCTCTGTGGCCCAGTGGTACAGTCTTCCTTTCTACCTGCATCAGGAACTCCAGGAGTGTCCCTTGTGTGGGTTTTGTGTGCTCTCCTGTGATAATTAAGCCTTGATTACTGTTAGTGTGTCAGTGAGTAGGATTGACTCTCAGGCTGACTGGCTTTGAGGATTTGCCACACTCACAGCATATGAGTTGCTGGTGCAGGGGATGACCCCACAGAGTGAGATTTACCCCAGTGGGCTTGTGTGCCAGTTGACCTGTTGACACCACCCTTTGGGTGTGCTGCTTGTAGGCTAATCAGGTGGTATTTTGTTGTGGTCTGATGCTGGCCCCTGGATGTGTTGACTCTGGGGCTCCTTGGCTGGGGTTCCCATGCAGGCCAAGGTCAGCCACTGCATTTGACTGGCCCAGGCTACCTGGTAGGAGCTACAAAGCTATCTGAGGTTGGTCACTGCCTGTGCTGGGCCTGGAGGCACATGAGAGAGGCTGCACCTGAACTGAGGCCAACAGCCACCAACAGCAAGCCTGGGGCAACTTAGCCAAAAAGGCCCAGGGTACCCCCAGGCCTGAGGCTGCCTGCCAGCTTCCCATAAGGCTTAGCAGCTGAGTTTCGGGTGGTATACAAATTAGTTGAGGCCAAGTCTCAGGAAGTCACAGGGTGGGTGAGTGGTATTCACCAGGTTAGTACATATTCAGATTTGATGGCCAGTGCTGAGCCTGTGGCCACTTGCAAAAGTCTCAGATCATACCAATGCCTGTTGCCAATGCCTCAGGCTCGCTGACACTTGAGATTTGTTCAAGAAGTATTGCAGCTCTGGCCCAAGCTGGTTACCTACCACCAGAAATGTCTCTAGAGGTGCTTGAGCTGATGCCCGTTGATTGCCACTCAGAGTGTGGGGCGGGGCCACGAATATGCCCCAGTAATTTTCGAGTTCAGTGAGATGAAGTCTTAGTGAGTCACCAGGGTGAAGCAAGCAGAGTTTACTAGGCCAATGCAGATTCAGATTTGGCTGTGTTTAGAGGAGAGCTCAACACAGGCAAGATGGCGCCTGCCTGTAGGCTGCACATGGGGAGGGCTCAACACAGGGATAATCGTGGCAGCTGACCCTCTAACCCTCAACCTGAAGCCACACAAATCAGTCTTTCCCTCTATGTTTCTAGCACCTACTAAGCTGCTATTCCTTTGCTGAACTCAGGGTGAGTTCCTGCGAGCGAGTGAGTCTGTGCGTGGGCCCTTTAAGGGAACACCTGGGTTTCTAGTAGCCTTCCATCTTACCCAGAGGATTGGACTCCCCACTGATTTTTATGGCCATATTTTGTGGGGATTCCTCTTTCTAGCACTGGAGCCCTGATGGAACTTTTATTTTAAAATCAGATTTTCTTTTCTTCTTATCATTGTATGTCTAGAACATGAGACCTATTTGAGAGACATTATAGAATTACGATGCCATCTCGAAGATAAAGGTCATCAACTAAAACATTTGGAGAAACAAAAAGCAAAATTAGAAGAAGCTAATGGAAAGCTTCAAGTAGACATTGACTACATGAATAAATATGGTCCTCTACTGAATTCAAAGTGGAACCAGGAACTTGAAGCTCTGAAAGAATTTTATAAAAAAAAAATTGAGGTAAGTTTATGGAGATGTATTTTATAGATTGTTACTTAGTTACACAAAACTCTTTCAACTATGAGAAGTTAATATATCTTTAAAGGTTTTATTTTCATTGAAAACTGACCTGCTGTTTATTTCCCAAAGGAATTATTAAACTATACACAATACAGTTGATTGGTATTCATTTGAACTATGTTATCTTCCCTTATTTTTATACTTAGGGGTATAAATAATAATAGTCAACCTACTAATAAAATATTGGAGATTTAAAACAACATGGTAATTTTTGAAGTTCTAAATTGAACTGAGGAAAGATGCAACTGGAATATATCGGTCAATTTCATTATTGATGAAAATAAATATTGAAGTCTTTTTAATGATTAACATTTAATTCTTCTATTTATAGAATTATATTATAGAAAAATGAATTATTATACCTGCCACTAAATGAACAGTTTTAACTTGGTATCATATTTGCTTTTGATAATATTAAAGTAAATAAATTAAGTCAGATATTTCCTGTATTCCCCTCAACAGTTCCATTTTCCTCTCCTATTCTTCAAATACAGCCTTATCATGAAATTGTTTCTGGGCAAAATTTGAACATTTTTATATGTATATATGTATTTATGCATAATACGTAGTATTTTTTAATTCTTTTAATAGTATCAAATGTGTGACTTTCTGCAAATTGTTTTTTAATCTGACATTGTCTTTGAGATCAAGCTACTGTTGATACATATAGATCTAGTGCGTTCATGTTATTTGCCATGTTACATAAAATAGATATCTCACGATTTATTATTTACCATTTTCTCTTGTCTTGATTATCTGAGTTCTTACCAATATTTAGCAATAAAAATGCTGATTTGAATATAAACAATAAGCTGCCATGAACATGTTTTTCTCTGTGTCTGTGAATTTTTCTTGGATATGTATCTAGTGATGTATTTACTTACTGGTCATGGGTTATATACATTTTCAACTTTATTAGATAAATTCAAGTTGCTCTTCAGTGTGTCTCTAATTTATATTACTGGAGTAGTAACAGTGCTGGAGACTCTTCATTTCTCTACCATGTACAAGAATTCTAGTATTATTCTCCTTTCTTATATAATTGGATAGAAATGCATCAGGCTAAAAGTCATTTCCCAATTTCACTTTTCTTATGGCATTTCTAGTGAGATATAGGTGTCATTGATTACGTTTTTTAGGAAAGTTCCTTGAAATAGACTGACTCAGAAGTAGCACCTTATACTTAGCCACTTTTTAAACTTCCAATAATCTAGATATGATAGCTGCGGCTCTCATTTCTACTTTACAGAAAAAAGTACAACTTTGGGAATGGAAGTATTCAGGATGGCTGAACAGACAGGCAGTTGGAGCCTTAGATCTAAATAAACTGAAATCTTGTTTATTTGGCTTATTTCTCATATAGCCAAACCCAGTCCTAACTGAAATACCTCACATTTTTGTCAACATTTTTATTTTCATATTTTAAAATTTGTCAGTAGATGTGTGAGTTGGTATCCCTTTTTCCTCTGGTATGTTTTTCCCTAATAGTGGATTAAGACATGTTCAAGGCAGAGGAGAGCAGGGTTGTTGGGCAGCTGGAAGACCATGCTGGAAATTGGGAAGAAAATGAGAAAATGCATTATAATAGGCCTAGAAAATAGCAACCTTGGTATAGAGCCTATCAGGGTTGCTATGATGGTTAACTTTTTGTGTCAACTTGGCGATGCCAGGATGGCCAGGTATTTTGTCAAACATTCTGTGTGCTTCTGTAAAGGTGTTTTTTTCTATGAGAGTAACATTTAAATCAGTGGACTTTGAATAAAGCTGACAACCCTCCATAATGTGAGTGGGCCTCTCATCCAATCAGTTGAAGTCCTTAATAGAACAAAGGCTGAACTTCTTTTAGCAAGAAAGAATTCTGCCAACAGATAGCCTTCAGACTTGGACTGCAACTTTTCCCTGGATATCTAGCTTGCTGGCTTACCCTGAAGATTTTGGACGTACACCTCTACAATTATATGAGCCAATTCTTAAAATTAATCAGTCTCTACCCTCTCTCTCTCCCTTCTTCTATTTCTATTTCTTTATCCTGTTGGTTTTATATCTCTGGAGAATCCAGGATAATACAACTATCATTAATGTAATGATTGCCTTTCCACTATTTCCTCATCATTGTATCACTCGTTGCATCTTAAATTCCTGGAAAAGAGTCTGATTACCTGGCTTTTAGGTCAGCTGACCACCTCTTGCTATTCCAGGAGTCAAAGTGAGCAAGAATCTGGCTCCCTTGGCTTTTATAGTGGGAGGCAGGAACTGTAATTAAACCATCCACTTAGGGGTATACAACACAAAGGAAGGTAATTTTTCATAATGAAATTGGGGTGCTATTAAGAAAGGTTATAGATGTTCAACCAAAATAACGAAAACCCTCTGCTATAAATGACAGCAGATATCTTACAAATAAGTGATACTTTACAAAAGAGTGATAAGAAAATGTATATTTATATTATGAGTATAACTGACAAAACACAAAAATGAAAAGCAAAATTATGAACACTGAGAGAACCAAATACCTCCTCAGAAAGAAGTAAAAATATGTTCATAGAGACTGTAGGAAAGCAAGCTAGAATAATGTTTCAGAGCACAGATTCTGTGATCATTGTGTTTGAATCTTACCATTCAGATTTTAGATACATTTTTAACCTTTGTACCTCATTTTTTTCATTCATAAAATTAATATGACAATAACACTGCCTGCATAAGTTTAATGTGCACATGAAATTAATTAATATATGAAAATAACTAGAATAGAATTTTTCCCATATTTATAGTTCTATTGTAAGTACAAAATAATCCGATGTGAAATAATAACAGGAAAGGCAAGAAATTTTCTTGAAGTAAAGTGGATCTTTACCTCTCAAACTACAGATCCATTTCCCTGGTACTGATGTTCTCATAATAAATTTCCTTTTGATTCTCTTAGCAAGAATCAGTTACTATTACTGAAAAAAAAAAAAATTTAACCAAGGTAAACATGTATTTCTCTAATGTTTTCTGATTATAAAACTTTTTTTTTAAAGTTGTATGCTTCTGCATGCTATTGACATACATGGGCACATAATATATAAGAAAATGTACTGTCCTTCATATATCTATATTACTAAGTATTTTATAATAATACTAAATGTTCTCAAACATGACTAACAGATTACTTGGCACATAGTAAGGACTAAAAAATGTTTTTGAACAATGGATAAATAATTGAATAAATAGTTCATTGATAACAGATGTGTCTCAGAATATGGAAAAGAAAGTGTTGCTTATGATTGGTCTTTTTTAAAAAATCATATACTGTGATGTGTTCCAATAAACCAAATGTTTTAAATTAATTATGATTTATAAATTTTGCCTCCTAGAAGAAACAATGGTAGTAAGTTCCTTGACATCAGTCTTGGTGATAATTTTAGGACTTGACACGAAAAGCAAAGGCACAAAAGTTAAAAAAAAAAAAATCAAGCAGGACTACATCAAACTAAAAACTAAAAACCTGCAGAGATAAGGAAACCATCTATAAAATGAAAAGGCAACCTACTGAATGGCAAAAATATTTGCAAATCATGTACCTGATAAGGGGTTAATATTAAAAAAATATAATGAACTCTTATAACTCAATAGGAAAAAAAAAAGACCCCAAAATATCCAATTAAATATGGTCAGAAGATCTGAGTAGATATTTTCCCAAAGAAGACATGCAGCTGGCATAACAGGAACATGAAACGGTGCTCAGCGTCACTAATCATCAGGGAAATACAAATCAAAAGTACAGAGATGCCACTTTATACCTTTTAGAATGACTACCATCAAAAATACAAGAAATAACAAGTGTTGGCAAGGATAAGAAGAAAATCCCTTGTGCACTGTTCATGGCAATGTAACTTAATACAGTCACTGCAGAAAACAGTATGGAGGTTCCTCAAAAAATAAATAAATAAATAAAACTACCATATGATCCAACAGTTCCACTTCAGGGTATTTATCTGAAGAAAACAAAAACACTAACTTGTAAAGTATATGCACTCCCATGTTTATTGAAACAGTATTTATAGTAGCCTCAGCTACTATAAATGGACACATAAGGAAATTATATGTCCATCGACAGATAAATGGGCAAAGAAAATATGTATGTATATGTATACATAAAAGAATATTATTGAACCATAGAAAAAGTGAAGTATTGAATCTACATAGTTAAAATGACCTTATTACCTAAAGCATTATGCAGATTTAATGCAATCCCCATCAAAATTGCATTGGCATTTTTTAACGAAATTGAACAGAAAAATCATCAGATTTGTATGGAAGCACAAAAGACTCCAAATTGCCAAAGCCATCCTGAGAAAAAAGAACGAGCCTGGAGACATCACTCTGCCCAACTTCAAATTTTGCTACAAAGAGACAATAGTCAAGACGGCATGGTATTGGCAGAAAACAGACACACAGACAGATGGAACAGAATTGTAAGTCCAGGGTAAACCCATGTTTATATGGGCAAATAATTTTCAACAAAAGAGCCAAAAACATACAGAGAAGAAAGGAAAGCCTCTTCAATGAATGGTGCTGGGAAAACTGGAAAGCCACCTGCAAAAGAATGAAACTAGACTGTTGTCTATCACCACACGCCCAAATTAACTCAAAATGAATTAAGGACTCGAATATAAGACCTGAAACAATAAAATGCATAGAAGAAAACATAGGAGCTACACTAAAGGACCTTGAACTTAAAGAGGATTTTATGAATTTGACCTCAAAGGCAAGGGAAGTAAAAGGAAAAATAAATGAATGGGACTACATTAAACTAAAAAGCTTCTGTACCGCAGAATGATGATAGCATTGTGGCTATTAATAAAAATATCTCTATTTGTAAGGGTAAATGATAAAATGTTTGCGATTTACCTGAAGTATTTTAAGAAAATAAAGAAAAATTTTAAAAAGATGAAATAAGTATAGCAAAATTTTTATACATGGCATATAGGGGAGTTATTATTATACTTTTTGGTTTTTCACTTTTATGTATGTTTGAAAACCTTTTTCAAAATATAAATAGTAGTCCCTAGATATCCATGTAAAAAGTAGTGTATCATCACAAGAAATTTTTAAATATTTAAATATAAGGGGAAACTTCAGAAACTTGATTGTCTGGAAAACCGTATGGAGGTTCCTCAAAAAACTAAGAATTAATCTACCATATGATCCAGCAATCTTTCTACTGGGTATTTACCCCAAAGACTTGAAAACCCATATCTGAAAAGATATTTGCACATCGATGTTCATAGTGGCATTATTCACAGTGGTCAGGACATGGAAGCAACCAAAGTGTCCTATGATAGATAATTGGCTCAAGAAGCTGTGGTACATATATATGATGGAATATTACTCAGGCATAAGAAGAGATGTTATACTGCCATTTGTGACAACACGGATGGAACTCGAGATAATCATGCTAAGCGAAATACGCCAGACTGAAAAAGTTGAAAATCATATGGCGTTACTTATATGTGGGATATAAACCTAAAAGCACCAAATGAACAGGACAAACAGAGACTCGTGGACATGGACAATAGTAGTTACCAGAGGGTAGCAGAGAGGGGAAAGGAGGGAAGTAGACGGGATAAAAGGGGTCAAATATGTGGTGACAGAAAGAAATCTAACTATGGGAGATGAACACACAGTGTAAATATATATATGCCTTACTGTTAAAGTGTATAGCTGACACTTACTGGATTTTATCAACCAATGTCACCTAAAAAATTAATTAATTAAAAAAAGAGTGAAGTCTTGCCATTTGCAACAACATGGATGGACCTTGAAGGCATTATGCTAAGTGAAGTAAGTTAAAGAAATACAAATATTGTGTGACCTCACTTATATGTGGAATCAAAAATAATAAACAAACTTATTCATATAGAGAACAGACTGATGGTTGCCAGAGGAGATGGGTAAAATGGGTGAAAGGTGTCGAAAGGTAAAAAACTTTCAGTTAAAAAATAAAGAAGTCATGGGGATTTAATGTACAGCATAGTGACTATAGTCAGTAATGCTATATTGCATATTTGGAAGTTGCTAAGAGAGTAATCGTAAAAGTTTTCATCACAAGAAAGAAAATTTAAACTGTATGGTGACAGATGTTAAATAGACTTATTATGGTGATCATTTCACTATATAGACAAATATCAGATTATGTCATATACTTGAAATTAATAAATGTTGTATATCAATTATACCTCAGTTAAAAAATTTTAAACTTCTATTCATCAAAGGACACTGTCAAAAAAGTAAAAAGACTAACTATAGAGTGAGAGGAAATATTGCAAATTATACATTTCAAAAGGATGTAGTACCTACAATATGTAAAGAACTTTTGTAATTCGACAACCAAAAACCAAACAGCCCAGTTATTTATGGGCAAAGGACTTGAATAGACGTGTCTCCAAAAGACGTACAAATGGGCAGCAAGCACGTGAAAAAATAAATGCTCCACATTATTAGTCACTAAGGAAATGCCTACCAAAACCACAATGAGATATCAGTCACACCAACCAGGATGAGATTAAAAATAAAATGAAAAATAGCAAGTTTTGTGGGTATATGGAAAAATTGGAACCATCAAACTTTCTGGTGTGAATGTAAAATGATACAGCCATGTGGAAAAGAGTTTGCTTTTTCCTCAAATTATCATCTCTTCTAGCAATTCTACCCTAAAGTATATACCCCAAAGAATTGAAAACTGATATGTATATAAAAAAAAAAAGCTTATACATAAATGTTCATAGCAGCACTGTTCATAATAGCCAAAAGATAGAAACAAACAATGTCTGTAAACTGATGAATTCCTAATAAACAAAATGTGATATATCCATACCATCGAATATTATTCAGTCATAAAAAGAAACGAAGTACTGATGCATGTCGTGGCATGGATAAACTTTGAAACACTATGCTAGTAGACAGCCAATTGCATATTGTATGATTTCACTTATATAAACTGTCTAAAATAGGTAAATCCATAAAGTCGGAAAGTAGATTAGTGATTGCTAGGTGCTGGGAGAAATATAGTGTTTGGTTATAGTATTTTGTTTGTAATATAGCTTTGTTTTGTTTTGTTTTATTCTGCTGTTTTGAGGCCCTGGCTAGAGGTCTGCTGCAGTAACCCAGTTGCCTAGATAATGCAAGACCTCTAGGCTGTGTGCTTGAGCCTTAGTACATAGCTACTTGCATATCAAGCCCAAAGGCTCAATGTTCCTTGCCTTCAAATTCTACAAGGTGCTCAGCCTCATAACATCATAGAGCCACAAAAATATTACCTACATCAACCTGAGTGAATATCCATATGAAAGAATATGCCAGTCACAGCTTACCTTGGAGATGAATTTGACATCATATGATGTCACCTTAACTCCCAATACTAGGACCACTGCCTCAGCAATGCTTACAGGCCGCCTCCTCTAAAGGTGCTGACAAAGTGATATGGGATATTATTTATTGCCTTTTTCCTTTGATATTAGGAATTCTATTATGTTTCCTGAGCTTTTCGTTTGCTTAATATCATCCTAGTATTCTCCTTGCTCTCTGCTAAAATGTGTATGTTCCTATACTCCTGTGCTTAAATGAAAATCTTGTAAAGGTTACTGGTATCTGTGCTATTCTAAAAATTGATATAATTATTGCTTTTTTCAGGAGGCAACTGCTTCATATCAGTCCCCCACTTGACCACTGGGGAAAAGATTGCTCACTCCTTAGGGCCTTCCCCTACTCCCCTCCCTCCAGTTGTCCTACAGGACATGTAGACCATTAGTTCCATGAATGACCAATATAACCACCCCTCCTTAGTTTAACAGAGGAGGGAGAGATGGAGAGACAAGGGAAAATGTTTATGATATTAGATAATAAAAATAAAAATGAAATATTTTGGACCCTTACATTAAAATAATAATGATTATTCCTAAATGAGATGACAGGTGATTTATTTTCTTCTTTAGCTGTGTGTTCTGATTTTTCTACAATAAAGTATTTGAACAATAAAAACAGTAAAAGGCAGCAGTACTTTTCGTGGGTGAAAAGATGATTTTATTTTGGTAATGTTAACTGAGATATTGAAGTTGTTTTCTTCAATAACTTTTATACATCCCTAGTATCGATGCCTTTCATGGTAAAGGAAACCCAAAACACTACTTGCTAAACAATAGACTAACTATGGAAAGAAAATTGATGTAAAGAACTTTTTATCAAAATAAAAACTACTGTAAGTTTAAGTTCTTTCTCTGATCTTTCTCATCTGATTATTTTAATTAGCTATTAAGTGCATATATTAGCAAAAATATTTTTCATTTCTAGGTAATGGGACTATACAAACAAGTTCAAGAAGAACTTAAAGAAGCTATAGGAAACTGTGAAAATGCCAAATTGAAAGCTAAAAAATTTAGAGAAGACATGGAAAAAGATATTAATAATGATAAAATAAACATAGACACCTACAAGTAAGAATTTTTCACAAATCCTTCATATAACATTTAGAAGTAAAACATTAATTTAAAAATGTCATTTATATTCTTGTATTTATATAAGGGAAAAGAAAGGAATCTAATTTACTCAAATTTATTTTATCAAGTTTATATATAAATTGAAATATGTATTTTTATATACGTAAATCTACATGTGTATAGATTTTAAAAAGTACTCATTTCTGTCATTTTCAAGTTCATATGTATTGCCAAATTTCCTATGGATATGGTATAATAACATATATCCTTGCTATCTATGTGTAAAAATGACTATTGAAAATTTTTCCAGCATGATATTATTAAAAACAAATTATATAGCCTTGTATTAATTATGAACACAATACATAATTAATTTATATGTATTTGATTTCTAATAAAATGGAATCTTTAAAAACATATAGACTATTTTTCATATTATTAATTGAAGTGATTTTTGTTTTATTTCTGACATTGTGTTTTAGGATATTTGTCTAATTCCTCTTGGCTTTAAATATTTTATGATTCTATTGGACATAATAAAAATTTTATTTATTCAAATGGGTCAATGATTTAGTATAGAAAAACTCATATGGATTTAGAATCAAGTAAATATAAGCAAAACGAAGAACACAAAATTTATTCACAAACCTGTGAATTCATGACCTATGTCTGTTTTAACCTGTGCTTAACCATGTATTATTTAATATATAAATCACATCTGAATTGTTATATCTTCCTTGTCATTCTGCTACATATATTTTGTAGTTTTCATTGCGATTCCTTCTTTGACTCATGGGTTATTAAGAAGTATAATTTTTAAATTTTCCATGATGAATTATTATTGCTTTCCAGCCAAATTATATTTTGGTCAGGGAACATTATATAATTTTAACTCATTGGAAATTGTTGAGTCTTAGTTTTTTTTTGTTTGTTTGTTTGTTTTGGGTAAGTATTCCTGTGTATTTGAAAATATTCCTTGTGTACTTTACTTATTGAACTTTACTTACCGAATGTATTCTTCATTATTTCATTAGGTCAAGTTTACTAATTCTGGAGGTTAACCTTTGTATATCCTTGCTAAATTTCAAGTGTGGTCTGTGGACCAGCAACATCAGCATTATCTGGGTGCTTGTTCAAAACGGAGAGTCTGAGGCTCTAGACCTATTGAATGAAAATCTGCACTTTAAAAAGATCCAAATGTGATGTTTGAGAAGCATTGTTCTATATCATTTATTGACTTTTGTTACTTTTGTGTCAAGTGTTGAGGGAAAGTGTGGTAAAATCACTAACTATGATGGTATATCTGTCTACATTTTTTTATTTTTTAAATTCTATTTGTTTCAATACATATATTTTCAGACTCTCTCAAGTTCACACGTTTTAAATTGTTATATGTTCCTGGGAGATGATTAGCCTCTTTCATCATTATGAACTGACTGTCTTTGACTCTTGAAATACTTTTGCCTTAAACTCAGTTGAGATATTAACCAGCTTTCTTTTGATATTTGTCTGGGATATATTTTTAGTTCTTTAAATTTCAACATTTTTGAGTCTTCATGTTTTATATACTTCTCTTGTAAACATCATGTAAATAGATTTTTTTAATTTGTTTGAGAACATTTCTTAAGGTAGACCATTAAGTACATTCACAAATCACTAATATATTTGGATTTAAACTACCATATACTTTATTCCATTTCCTCTATTTCTTTTCCTTTTTTATTGCCTTTTTTTAACTTTAGTTATTGTTATCATTTTTTTTCTTCTAGTTTGGTGATTATACTTCTGTTTCTCTATTCTTTTAGTAGGAAATCCTATTAATTACCACATGTACATTTACATCATCAGGCTCAAACGACTGTTAACCTGCTGGACAAGAAAGGGATTTATGGAAAATTTTACTGTAGTTTTTACCTTACTCTTGAACGTTACTGGCTAGATCCAGTGAGTTGCTTCTGATGAATAAAGAAAAATTAATAGACTATCACTTTTATGATTAGATTGTAAAAAACTGACTTTTGTCTTGCTAGCACTCTCTTTTTGTCCTCTTGCTTATTTATTCTGATGAATTAGCTGCTGTGCTTTGAGATGCTCTATGGAGAAGTTCATATAACAAGGAAACAGTCTAGGTCTCAGTCCAGCAACCCTTGGGAATCAACCTGATAACAACCAGGAGTGTGATAGGAGGAGTGCTTTACTTATTTTGGTCTGCTTGATCTATCTTTTCTAACATAACTATGTTAAAATCTTATGCTAGTCAATTTATTTTTATGCTGTCAGTATTCATTTTATATATATTTCTAGGCTACATTAAGTGCATATGGGTTCATACATTTTCTATCTTCATAGTGGATTTTCATATATATATTTATGTATATACACATACATTATTTTAATCCTTTTAATATTTCTTTCCTCAAAGTATGCTTTTGTTTGCTATTGATATTTTAAAAGATTCCTTCTGATTAGAATCTCACTGGCACATCTCATTTTATTTCTTTAAAGCCTTTCTGTTTGGTTTTATTTTAGGTCGATTCTTTCAGATTGCATATAACTCATTTCTGTGCCTTTATGTAAATCTGATCATTTTCTTAATAGATAAATTTACTTTATTTTTATTTACTTATTATTATTGTGAGGTTTGTCTGACTTGCTACTCATGTAGGAAATCCTTAGCTGAGACAATGGGGAGATTTGGCTATATTATTCTATGTTTCTTCAATCTATTAGAAATATTCTCATGGTAATAAGAGGAGTAGAGAAGCAAACATTCACACATGAACTTCATAAGCCTGTAGTTGCATCCCATTTTCTAAAATCCAAGTGACAATGGCAAGTTAAATGGCTAGGCTCAAAGTCAGAGTTAGAGAACCCTACAAAATTACATGGTAAAGGAGTTAGATACAGGAATGAATGAAGACTTGAGACTATAATGCCCTCAGTTTTCCATACTCTTTCTTATTTTGCATATCTCAAAGCTATCAATTGTTTTTCTATCTCTATTTTTATTTTAATCATTTATCTTTCCATCTTTGTGTATATACATTTGTACATATATTCAGCATTTTATTCTTTTATCTGGCACAAAATAGATTTTAGCCTATATTATAAATACAACAATCTTTATCTTATAACATTTTATAAAAGTTTTTCTCAATTTTGAATATAAAAATTAATTGGTGGTTTGTATAACTAATATTTAAATAAATATGAAGGCACATTTTATTTATTCCTATAGTCATCATTATTTATTACACCATATAATTTTTTCTTTGTTGATTTTCTTCTTATTTAAGTATATTTTCCAAAAGTTCTATTATAAGCTTTAGAGGAGTCATAAATGATTTAGAAAAGAAAATTTGAAAGACATGTTTAATTATTCTTCATTATTTTTTAAATTTGTTGAGAATTAACACATCTACAGAAACATGATTATGTGTGCTATCAAGTTTATAGATCAATGATATTTAAAATATGTATACACTCATGTAACCATGCCCCAAGTTAAGATTTAGAAATTTTCTGACATATTAGAAGTTTTCCTTTTTCCTCACAGTCCACACCACTGACCCCGCAAAGAGGTAATCTCCATTCTGACTTCTACCACCATAGTTTTGTCTGTTCTTGAATTCCATATGAATGGGAGCACACAGCATATATTCTTTGGTGTCTTGATTGCTTTACTATATAGAAACCCTTCACAACAGGGTAGAGTGGTTCTTCCCATTTCATTCTTCTAAATTTATTCTGATTTATCAGATATGGAATGATGAAATCTAAACTACCAGTGAGAGCAAACCTAGCAGCAAACTGTCACATTGAAAGATCCTTAAAAGGCTGAGGAATTGGTGACATCAACTTCTTCAGGAAATAGAGATAAGAAACAACTAAAATAACACTTAATCTGCCTTATTTTGTAACTGGGCAATTATCCATGGCTTACTTAAAATCTATAGTTTATTATCTGGACTGGGGAAAATAAATACCATTGAGAGAAAAATTAATTTCAAAAGACGCAAATTTAATCAAACTTATGCATTTTAAATGCTGAGCTTCCCTACCTCTCATTATCTACTTGGCTTCTAAAATTCTAGTAGGGAGACCTGTACTCTCCAAACATGGAAGTGTAAAGAAGAATATTCTTGCCTACTTATTTGTTGCTTTAATTTTTCATTTATGCATTAAAGTTATGTCTTTCAGTTTCATTTGACTCTACCTCTAAAATCAGGGTGTGTGCATGAGAACCGAGGTGAATTCAATAAGCCCACCATACATTTATTGGGCATTGGCATTTATTCTCTTTTGAATGTTTATCTTGTTTGCTCATTTGCCTATTGGGTATTTTTTCTATTGCATATTGGTTTGTAGAATTTTATTACCACAAGTGATTTACTCTTTTATCTCTTATATGGGTTTTAAATAAATTGCCTAGTTTATTATTTTGTTTATAACATTTTTAAAAAAAGTTGGAGTTATCTATATTGCTTGCCATGTTTATGAAAATGATAACTTTATCATTTTCCTTTTGTATGTTTTTCACGTATTAAACCAAAACAACATTATCTAAGGAAACTTTTATGTTTGGAATGTGTTTTCTACCTACCAGATAAGAAAAAGGATTGTGTGGTTCACAGGTTACCACTGGTCTTCTTTGTGGAAGATCACATAGGAGCAAAGAACTCCTTGGCAATTACCTCTCTTTAAACAAGTGCTTTGCTTTCCTAAGCTGCAGTTTCTTCCATTTTATCTCTAAGACTGTATGGTCTTTTAACATCTACATTGTCTTTTCTTGCCTCTTTTTTTTTTTTCCTTGCTTTTCCATTCCTGTACTACTCAGACTCTGAATCATGGGTGCTTAGGTCTCTCACTTAAAATCAAATCAAAAGGTGATTTATTATAAATAATTTATAAATCACTTTTCTCTCAATTCCTTTACACTGGAAACGTAAATACTACTGGTGAATATTTCTCTCACTATTTACTTCTTGATATCTAAGTGGCACTTTTCAGGAGTTGCTTTGGGATGGGAGAACTTTTAGGAATATATAAATTTCATTGATTTACATCGTCAGAAGCTAATTTAAATATACCTAATTTTAAATTTAATTTTTCTTTCAATGTGGATAAAATCAACTGTTTTTTCTCTCTTAGGAAAGAGATAGAAAACATTAACAATTTATGTAACTACTACAGTAAATTAATACAAAATGTTAATGTTACTATTGAGGAGAATGAAGAGGCAGTGACTGAAGCATTGAAGGAAACAAAGACATCAAAAGACGAATTATCTGCTTTATCTAAAGTGGTGAGTTTTCATGTTTAAAAATAAAAAAAAAAATTCTGATTTTCGTTTTGAACCATGGCTATTAAAACTTATTCTCTATCAATAATTACAAAGCAGTTAGCCAATTTTCTCTCTATATTGGTTTTCTATAGCTACATAGCAAATTACTAAAATTTTAGTAGCTTAAAACAGCATCTATTTATTATCTCAGAGTTACTCTGGGTCATGGCTCAGCTGATTCTTCTGCTCCAGGTCTTCCAAGACTGAAATCAAGGTGTCATTTTTTTCCTGGGGCCTCCAGGATGAATCTGCTTTTAGGCTCATTCAGTTTCGGCAAGATACAGTGGTTTTAGAATTGAGGTCCTTGTTCTTTGGTGACAGTCAGCCTCAGATCATTCTCTATTTTTAGAGGTTGCTTGCAACCCCTGGCTGATGGTTTCTTTCATCTTTAAACCAGGAAGGGTAGATTGAGTCCTGTTACTCTTGGTACCACTTTGACCTTCCTTTGTGACTCATCTTTCCTGTCTTCCTCCTCTGCCACATCTCATTCACTATAATAAAAAGAAATAATATAAAAGGAAATTATGAAATGGTAAAAAGAAATTATAGTATTTTAAAAGGCAGTAATACACACACTCTTGTACTAATTTACATCCTACGTACAGTTAAAACTACGTGGGTTTTTTTTCACTCTCTATTATGGACTCCTTAATTGTATCTTGTTATTTTCAAAAATTAATCCATAATTATTTGTGAGCTGAGTATATTTTAATGGCTTTTAGGAGGTCATTTGTATTTACTTTTCTGTGTAAAACCTACTCATGATTTTTCCTTACATGTTGAATGTTTATTTTTTATTGATTTGTAAGAATTTGTTGTATATTATAGATATTAAATATTTTAAATTTACATATGTTAAAAATATTTCACGTAGTCTTCTTTCATCTCTTTGTGATAACTTCTAATGAATAAACTTAAATATTAATTTAGTCAAAGTTATAAATAATTTCTTTTGAACTTTGTAGTTTTCTGAACTTTCTTTAGAAATTTTCCTACCTTGAAGTCAAAAAACATTCTGATATTTTATTCCATATGACTTGAAATTTTACTTTTCATACTCACACAATGTTTTTAGATGAAACTATGTTTAAAATATTTAAAATTGAGGGGTTTTTGTCATTTCTTTTATTTATAAGTTTGGACATAATAAATTCTCAAATTTTAGGAATGCATATTTTGCTTTTTATATGTGAAGCATAATCAATATGAAGTTTATGGGTAATGTGTGAAGTGAGGTTCCATCCAGTCTTTTTTCTTATATATCATAAAAATTGTTACAATATAATTTATTGTATTTATTTATGTATTAATATTTAGTGCCACCTCTGTCAAATATGAGGTTTCCATATTTGTGTGGTTTCCTTTTTTCATTCTCTTTTTAATTCAATTAGTCTCCTTAACCGTCCTTACCTCAGTACTTCATGTCTACATTACTAAACTTCTATAATGAGTTTTGATTATTATGATGAATCCCTCAACTTTGTATTTCCTTATGATTTTTAGGTTATACTCCCTTTTTTTCCCCCTTTCGTATAAATTTCAGTGTTATTATGCTCATTTCCTTTAGAAATTTTATTTGAGTTATGATTAGAATCACATTTATTCATGGATTAAGTGATACAGAAATGACATCTTTACAATGGGGATCCCTAAACATAAACATGATCTACCTATCCATTTATTTGGATAGTTTTTCTAAACTGGGCCTTAATTTCTTCGGAACTTTGTAGAAGGCAAATGCTCTCTGCAAAGTCAGCCTGTGATTAGTCTTGGACAAATTAACACTTATATCTCCACTGAATTTTAAATTTATTTTTTAAATCGATTTTTAATGTAATTTTAATTTGTTCCTAAAGGTTCTATGTGGTAGATATTATTTATAATTTGTTAAGGCTTAATTTGTGTCCTGCTGTATGGTTAATTTGCATAAATACTTTATTTGGTAAAAATGTTTTCTTGGATAGTGATATGCAATTCTACTTTACGAATTGTGCTTATTGTGTTATTTAAATCTTTTATATTTCTGATTTATTTTCAGACTGATATATACGAGCTGTATTAAAATATCTCAGTATGATAGAAGGTTTCTTTACTATTTTTCTGTCTGTATTTTTGCTTTATAATTTGAAGCCATGCTTTTAGATGAAACTAAGTTTGGAATGTTTAGAATTGAGTTTTTCATATGATATATTTTATTTATGCATTTTAAGCTACAAATTATTAAAATTTTGGAATGTATATTTAACTTACTGGATGTGAAGTATAATCAACATCTTTAACTTCTTCCTGAATGGTTTAAGGACCTTAAGATACTTAACTGACATATGTTCTATTTTCCATAGTGTTCTGCCTATCATATTTAATATTTCCTATAGTAGATAATTTCTTATTAATTTATGCAATAAATGTTTGATTATATTTATTCTTAGTTTAACAGTTTGCACACATTTTTTTTTATCATATTGCTAATTGGCATTTTGTTGTTACTAAAGTATATCTTTTACAAACTTATTTAGTGAGCTAGATTTGAGATTCTCGAAATGTTTTTTCTCAGAAAACATCTTTATTTTGTTCTCATTCATGCCATCTAGGGAATATGCACCTGAATTAACATGAGAGTGACTCACACCACTGCATGGGCAATGTAGAAGAATCCAGAAATAGGCAAGGCTGAAAACATAAAACTAAAACACACTGGACTGAAGTGACTGAGAGGATGAGATGGGATCAAAGAGTTGAAAGAACCTGATTTTAAATAGATAGTAATACAGATCCCTCCATAATTAGCCCTTCTTTCTCTTTCAAGCTCTTTCTTACTACCCATTCCCTGCTTACTTTATTCCCTTCCTTTATTACTGCAAGACACCAGAATGCATGATGTGCACATTTTTTTTCCCAACTTTTCATAAACACTATTTCTTCTGATTATAGCATCAGTGTTCAACTCTGCTCATCCTATCAATCCTACCATTGTCTGGCTGCATCCTCTCATTTTTTAAAAAAATTAATTCCCTATGCTGTGATCCCCATTCCTGTGACCATCCATCAGTTACTAATTTGTACTTCTTTAACCCTTCACCCCATTCTCCCAGCCTCCCAAATCCCCTACCCTCTGTCCATCACCAAATCGTCCACTATATTTGCGAGTCTGTTTTTGATTAGTTTGTTCCTTTTATTCCTTAGATTCCACATATAAGTGAAACCATATAGTGTTTATCTTTCTGTGTCCAACTTAAATACTTTCTAGGTCCATCAAAGCAATATCTTTTTCCATCTCCTTCCTTTTAGTCTGTGTCTTTTAATCTGAAGTGAGCCTCTTAATAGGCAATATGTAGGGGTCTTGCTTTCCTTTCCATTCATACACTCTTTTAGTTGGAG